TTTCTTTTGGTTTATGGATCCAAAAATTGCATCTAGTGTGTATATAGTGAAATGCAATTCTAAAAATTCAACAGATTAGTAAAGTTAATGTAGCCTTCAATACAAACACAAAAAACCATATGGGTATATATATATTTTTAAGATTTTATTTATTTATTTGACAGAGATACAGCGAGAGAGGGAACACAAGCAGGGCGAGTGGGAGAGGGAGAAGCGCGCTTCCCGCAGAGCAGGGAGCCCGATGCGGGGCTCGATCCCAGGACCCTGGGATCATGACCCAAGCCGAAGGCAGACGCTCAACCGACTGAGCCAGCCAGGCGCCCCGTTATGGGTACATTTGTAAAGAAAAATTTTTGAGGGGCACCTGGGTGGCTCAGTCGTTAAGTGTCTGCCTTCGGCTCGGGTCATGATCTCAGGGTCCTGGGATCGAGCCCCGCATCGGGCTCCCTGCTCTGCGGGGAGCCTGCTTCTCCCTCTGCCTCTTCTGCTCCCCCTGCTTATGCTCTCTCACTCTCTGTCAAATAATAAAATCTTAAAAAAAAAAATAAAGAAAAATTTTCGAGGAGTTTGGGTCTACCTAATATTTTTCCTTTTTTTTTTTTTTTTTACTAAATCTCAAATGGACCAATACACAACAATAAGCAAAAAGGTAGACCATAAGGTAAAGAACAGAAAGAAGATCTGTAAGGAGCATGGCAACAAATCTCAGAAATCACCAGCCTGTCCCCACTGGCCCCAAACCAAATGTCTGCTTTACTGTGTGCTTGAAACAGATGCCTTCACTTTGGAAATATAGAACAGCAAAATAAGTTTTCAAATAAAAGAAACATAGATTCTTGGGGTGCCTGGGTGGCTAAGTTGGTTAAGCATCTGACTTCAGCTCAGGTCCTGATCTCAGGCTCCCTGCTCAGTGGGGAGTCTGCTTGTCCCTCTCCCTCTACCCCTCTACCCCTCCCACCTGCTCTCTTGTGCGCTTTCTCTCTTAAATAAAAAAGTCTTAAAAAAAAGAAACACAGATTCTTTAGAGTCTTATATAAATACAATGTTCATTTACTTAAATTGTTCTTTTTGTCAAGTATTTGCCAGAGCCGAAAAAGCTACAAAGATAATAAAATACACCAGAAATGGTATATTGATGCCCTTTAATTAAAGTTTACTTTTTCCAGCACTTAAAAAATTTTTAAGAATCTATATGCTAGGGCGCGTGGGTGGCTCAGATGGTTAAGCGTCTGCCTTCGGCTCAGGTCATGATCCCAGGGTCCTGGGATTGAGTTCCGCATCAGGCTCCCTGCTCCTTGGGAGTCTGCTTCTCCCTCTGCTTCTCTCTCTCTCTCTCCCTCTCTGTCTCTCATGAATAAATAAATAAAAAAAATAAAAAAATCTTTAAAAAAAATCTATATGCTAATCTCACTGCATAAAGATAACTTGATTTGTAAGTTAGTAAAAAGTACTCAAAAATACAAACACACTGATATATAACCAAAATTTGTCCAGTTTCTTTCTGATAATTAGCTACCTAATTTTGAATATGATAATATCAATAAACTCTAGCCAATCATTGTTCTTATCCTGTTCCACTTCAGGTATCAGACCTCAATTTTTAATGTACAGGAGTTTGAAATGAGGCATGAAATAAAAAAACCAAAACCAATTCTGAAAGTCTATAGTAAAAGTTTTAAAATTATCACTGTATGAGAATGTTTCACTTTTAATCTTTGAGTGCCCCTTTATAAAGGAGAGATGCCAAAAGGCATGTTTGAGTTATGACAAGTAATGACTCATAGCAAAGTTTATCCTTGACATTTGTACACAGTTATAATTATAAATATCTGCTTATTTATTTTATTAGCCCCTTTCATCAATAAAAACAAAGGAAATGCATAACAGCCTATTTCTGAAATTCTACCCATGCAAAATACTGAGAACTACATTTTAAAGGTGAAAATAATTCCCAGAAGTGCTGACAATTACTCTACATTAAAAAAAATTAATCTGGAGAATACATGGACATCAAATATTTGTAAAAGGTTAACTGCAATCATGATTAGTCTTCTACTTCTTTCTTATCCCAAAGGATAAAGGACCCAGGCTCAAACTTGGGCTTACAGAGGTACAACATACAAAAGCATCATTTTTTTTTGGTAAAGATTTTATTTATTTATTTGTCAGAGAGGAAGAGACAGAGAGAGCACACGCGCACAAGCAGGAGGAGCAGCAGGCAGAGGGAGAAGCAGGCTCCCCACTGAGCAGGGAGCCCCATGTGGGACTTGATCCTAGGACTCCGGGATCATGACCTGAGCTGAACGCAGATGCTTAACCAACTGAGCCACCCAGGCATCCCACAAAAGCACCATCTCTAAAAGGCTAAGGGCACTAAAAAACAAAGTATGGTGCCTGACATATAGAAGAGGCTCAATTAGTTGAATCAAAGCATGAGTAAAGGTCTTGCACTTTTGATGGTAAGACACTCAAAATTTAAGAAACCTAGAATTCAACATAGTCCTGAGGGTCTAATAAGTCCTGTGTAGCAAAATGACAAGATGCCAAAGAATTCTGCCAAAGCGAAAGATTCGAGTTTAATCTATGCTTGTATACTGTATACACAAAAGCCTGAAATGATTTTTAGAGCTTTGCTATCACTCGGGAAAGAATATTCCAAAACTATTCTCAAAAGTGAGGGTATGTAGCCCAAGATCCAGTTTAAAATTAAAATGATAAAATGTCCTGCTTCTGTAATTTGACATCTAAGAAAATAATTTTTAAAACTAAAATTAAGACTTGCTAATTACTTTCTAGTACATGAAAGACACACCTACCAATTAAATGCTTGAAAGGTAGTTGATGATCTCGAAGGTTCAGGTGGGCAATATGTCCAACTCTGCTAAAACCTGAAGTCACATCTTGACCTTCAGGAAGCACAGCTTTCAAGATTTCTTCTGACTTAAAGTTTTCATAAGTTAGTTCCAAATTATATTTAGATATCTGTGGATTGACATTAAGCTGCTTTAAAACACTGAGTTCTGCTCTTTCAAAGGAATCATAAGTAAATATTTTATAGGGATCCAACATAATTAGTCTACTTTCTTCATCTTCTGGATCTTCAATCACACGTTTTATGCCTGGGCGCTGCAGTGCTGCCCTTTTAAGGGATCGCATCAATTTATTGACTATTTCCTTCCTTACTTTAAGCACTGGGATGGTTACTGTCTTTTTAAAAGCTGTTCTATCAAGTTTTGTCATTCCTCGAACATTAGAGGGTGGTGAAAACAATTCAGAGTCTCTCTGGTCTGATTCTATTTCAGGCATGGTTGAGAATCTTTTTCTTTGATCCAACAAGAAAATACCAGGTGCTCTGCTAAGTTTCTGTATCTGTGATGTCCAAGCTAGTGGAGTCAATGATTCTGATTCAGATATTCTACATCTTTCCACTTTGAAAAGTATTCTTGAGAATCCAAATGGCCTCCATAAGATCCTAAAAAAAAGGAAGCATTTAAAAAAAAAATACCATAAAACTACAAACTTACATGTTCACAATAGCTTAAGAATAAAAATCTAAATTCTAGGGGTGCCTGGGTGGCTTAGTCAGTGAAGTGTGAGGCTCTTGAGTTAGGCTCAGGTCATGATCCCAGTGCGGTCATGAGATTGAGCTCTGCATCAGGCCCGGTGCTCAGCGGGAGGTCTGCTGGAGACTCTCTCCCTCTGCCCCTACCCCCACTCTCTCAAATAAAATCTTAAAAAAAACCCTAAATTCTACAGTTTTAAACAACCGCTAAATGCTGATAATTAAAACTTCTAGTGGTGACAAGTATACTATCTTTTCCATAATATTTGTCTTTTATTAGCAATAAATAATAAATGTGCACCTTCAACCCACCTGCTGCCAGGACAAGGGCTTAGTGATCCATCAGCCTCCCTAGTCTATGAACCTCTCCACCAACAATTTTCTATAGCATACATACATGTGGGATTGGAAGGCTGAGATTTGAGTTAAAAGATCACCTCTAAATGAAATGGTCATTATACTTACGACTTTCCCAATGGCAATATTTACTAGGATATTCTTCTGACTGCTACATGCTTTACACACATTATCAATCTTGGGAGGTGTGTGATATCACATCCTTACTTCGAAAACGAGCAAACTAAAGGTCAGAAGTAGGTTAATTCACCCAGTCTCGCTGCTGTAAGCGGCTGAGCAAGGATTAAAAACCAGGTCTGACTGACTTCAGAGCCTGTGGTCTTAATATATTGCTACATTGTTTGTCTTCAATGCTTTACTACCACAAGTCCTGCCTATGACTTGAGGTTTTGGTATTCTGAGGACTAGGATTTGCTAAGTGTTACATGCCCCTTCCATTCATTCACAGTATCAGTTATTCACTTTGCCTTCTAAAATACCAAAGAACCAATTAGCAGGGGAAAGGGCCCTGCCCTAGGACCCTGTAAAGCAATTCTCAAACTTCACAGTCAGGGTTCAAATTCGGCTAGCAGTTAACCAGCTGTGTGATCTTGTAATACCTTAACCCGAGTCTCGGTTTCCCACGTGTAAAATGAAAGGCTCTTTCAGAAAGCTTTTGAAAAGATTAAACTCATTCCTTCCTAGCCACTACTCGGACCTAGGCTCAGCACCCAGGCGGTGGGTGACCTCGCGACGTTTCTGCGCGCCAAGAGGCGCGCGGAGGGGAGCAGATCGTGGTGGACGGCTCCTGCCGCCCGACGCCCAGCCTCTCCGTTCAGGGGCTTTGCGGTCACCACCTTACCAACGTCACCATCCCAATTCCTGGCATCGCTCCGCGGTTGACTCCGAGACTAGACCCCTCACCTCATGCTCTGGTGCAGCTCGGAAATGGGTCGCTCGTGGAAGGCTGGCCCTCGACGACACCATCACCGTTCGCCACCGAAAGGCGAGCGTCATCAGATCGCGTCGATTCCCTCCTTTCTTCCCCGCCCTGGTGAGGTACCGGAACCCGGAAGGGCCGGGCCCACAGCCCCGCCTCCGACGCGACTCAAGACTGGAGGGTGGTAGCTCGCAGATGGACCTGGTAGTCGGCCAGCGAGCAGCATGGAGGCACCCTGGGGGATCGACAACGCTGAGCGGGGCTGGTACGTCTCTGCCCAGCAGCCCGAAGAGGCGGAGGCGGAAGAGTTGAGCCCGTTGCTAAGCAACGTAAGTGGCCTCCGCTAGCTTCCCGGTGCTGAAGGCCTCCGGGCTTCCCTGAAATGCCTGGCAAGTAAGACCGGGAAAAGAAGGAGGTGAGGGTGCGGCGTGGGGATAAGGGAGAAGCTGGAGCCTGACTCTTGGCGGGTGGCGCCCTAAGGCAGCAACCAGAGGCGGATGAGATCCGGCGGAGTGCATGAATGTGGTAGCAGCGTAACACGGCCCAAAAAGAAAAGCTGAAGGCGCAGGCACAGGTGGAAGAGGATGACTGGATGAGCAGCCCTAGCGTTATGTAACTCAGTGCTGTTTGTTAGTGTCTTTGTGGACTTCCTGTTCCCTCCAGCAGTCTTGTGAGGTTTTTGCCAGAGTCACAAGATTTTTCTTTTCTAGACTTAGTCATTGGCTGCCTAAGAAACATCTTCATACAGAGATCCTTAGCGGTGAAGGAGTGGAGGTGGCCTGGTGATAAGTACATAGGTACTTCCTTGACCCTAAAGCCTGTGCAATGGGTCCTTGGCCTTTTAAGTCGAGTCCCTGCTCTGTAACACTTTCTAGGACTTTGCTCCCAAATGCTGTTTTGGAAGAGGGTGTTTTCAAGGGTATCTTCGGTAGAGCAACGTGAATTGCTTCTATTTATTATATCGTCATTGCAAGGTATTCCTGACCATCCTTGCATTTGAGCTGACTTAATTCGTTAAATATACAGAGATTACTTTTGCAGTCCCAGTATTGGGGAGCAACCATGGTCTCCAGCAGCCCCAAGCTAAGGATTTCTTCAGTAATCACACGAACTGAGGCCAGCTCCCTTCTCTCTGTCCCACCCCATTCCTATCCTGTCTTCATCTTTTGCAGTCACAAGGTTAATCATGGCTTTTCCCGAAGTCTCCCTGGGCTCCGTACTGGTGGAGATGATTTTCCTAAGAAACAAGATTCCTGGCGCTGCACTAGTGGGAGGTGGGAAGGGAAGAAAGGAAACCAGTGCTGCTTGAGAAACTAGTGTGTCACACAGTGCCTCTGGTTTGCAGGAGACTTTCTCCATAACTTGTCATTCATTTCTTGATGAAGTTTGAACTTCACCATCCAAACATTTAACACTATTAAATTTATGTGCTTGCAGGAACTTTACAGACAGGGACCCCCAGGTGTTTCATTTGGTTTTTCTGTGTTTAATTTGACGAATGCCATCATGGGAAGTGGCATCCTTGGCTTAGCTTATGTTATGGCTCATACTGGCATCCTTGGATTTAGGTGAGTTTTTTTTTTTTCTTCTTTTACTGTTACTTTTATTTTTCTTCCATTTTGATAGTACACTGAGAAGCAAAGAGATAGGCTCCAGAGCTGGTGTTATACAGTGTCTAGTTAAATTATTTCTGGGGTTTTAGCATTTTCTTACTATTGTTGCCCGTCTATAGCTTGGAGGGATGCAATATAATTGGTATTTTTTATCCAAAAGTGTGGCTAATTTTTTAAAATGGAAACTTGATCCACACTTGCCACTCCTTATGACTTAAAGAGTGGCTATTTGTTGTGTCAAGTTGGCCAAAGTGAATTAAAATTTATCAGCCATACAGATTACCTATAAATGGCAATTTTATGAGGGTAAAGTTCCTACTCTTAGGTAGTCTTGTTTCGCTGAGTCTAGACATGTGTTCTGTGCCTATTCCTTTTCATCTAGACTTGACTCATTCCGGTTGGCCCAAAAGAGGAGACATTCCTGGCTTTTCTGTGTTTCCATAGTACTTTGTATATTCATTCTGTTATTATAATGTGTTATAGTGATTTGTTTGCAAATTAGTTTCCCTGCTAAACTGAAATCCTTTAGAACTAGACCTTATCTTTAGCATTTAGCATTTGTTTTATCAATAGAAGCAGATCTATTTTACCAGGAAATTTAAAATGCATCGAGTCTCATTTAGGTTTATTTTCTGCTTTTATTTTTAATTTCTTGATAAGCAAACCAATTTTTAAGTAACCCACTTGCCTTTTTTTGTTTTTTAAAGATTTATTTGAGAGAGAGCGTGTGCACAAGCAGGAGGGGCAGAGGGAGAGGGAGAGGGAGAGAGAATCTCAAGCAGACTCCACGCTGGGCCAGAAGCCTGACTCGGGGCTCTGTCCCGTGACCCTGAGATCATGACCCAAGCTGAAACCAAGAGTGGGATGCTCAACCAACTGTGCCACCCAGGCGCCCCCCCCCAATTTGCTTTTATAATGGGTTATATGCACAAACTTTCATAATTTTTAAAACTAAAAAAATATTTTTTTAAGTAGGATCCACACTAATGTGGGGTTTGAAATCACGACCCTAAGCATGCTCTACTCAGTGCCAGGTGCCCCTCATAATTTTTAAAAGCTTTAATTTAAATTCCCTTTAGTTAATATACAGTATTATATTGGTTTCAGGTGTACATTATAGTGATTCAACCATTCTATACATCACCTAGTGCTCATCACAAGTGCGCTCCCTAATCTCCATCACCTGTTGCCGCTGCCCCCCCACCCCCACCCCATAACCATCAGTTTGTTCTCTATAGTTCAGGGTCTACTTCTTGATTTCTCTCTCTTTTTCCCTCTTTGCTTGTTTGTTTTGTTCCTTAACAAACTTTCATAATTTTAAAACTTCAAAACCGTATTTGACATCTTAGGCAAGACATAATCATAGGACTCTTTTGAGTTCCCTTTGAAAAATCACATTTTGTACTCCAGGGCCTTACGTGCAGTTGTATACCACTGAACATGTCCTTATTGAATCATGTCACATTTTCCATTTAGTGATACCAAACTGTTATTTTGTGAGGCCTCAAGTGTACTGACAAGTGTACTTGTATACAAATGACAAGTGTACCTCTCAGCTTTGCTACTTAATTACAAGTATTAAGTAGACCGTGAAGAATTTCTTCAAGTTTTGGGGCACTCACTAGTGCCAGCTTTCTAAGAAGCTTGTCCTGTCAGTATCCTCCTGAGAATAAGTAGGAAATTATGCATATTGTCTCTTTTCTCACTTTTGGTGAAAGGTCCCTAATTATTACATTATTTGTACCTTTTCAAATTGTGTCAATAGATGTGTGTTAACTGCTTTTGTTTGATTTGGTGAGTGTGTATGTGTATAATGGATGCTAGGAAATGCAGTCTTTTTTTAAGATTTATTTATTTTAGTGAGGGTATGTGAGTGGGGGGAGGGGAAGAGGGAGAGGGAATCTTCAGCAGACTCCCCACTGACTGGGGAGCCAGTCATGGGGCTCCATCCCATGACCCTGGAATCATGACCTGAGCTGAAACAAAGAGTTGGATGCTCAACCAACTGAGCCACCCAGATGCCCCTAGGAAGTAGTCTCAACTCAGTATTATAGGTGAAGGTATCATAGGGTGGTACAGTCATTGGAAGAGGAGGGATGGAGGGAAGGAAAAAGAAGACAGTGAGATTTCACAACTAAAACTTCTGTTTAGACTTAAAATAGGAAGAAATAGTTATAAAAGGGAAACAGTACAAGATCACTGAATAGCTGAACCAGCAGTCAGCAGACAAGAGTGCTGAAGGGGAAAATTGTTTTTGTTTTAAATACAGTTTGTTTCTTTCTGATTTATTTTTTTAATCTAAAAGCAGTATATTTTCATTTAAATAAAATTTGGTAAATACAGAATAATATTTTCTTTAGTGACCATAATCCAACTACTCAAAGATAGTCCCTGCGAACATTTGAATGTGAAAAAAATTTGTTTTGTAATGAGATACTTCAAAAAAGAAAACTGTGGGGGTTTGACCATGTACTCTTTTATATTTCAGTTTCTTGCTGTTGATAGTTGCTCTCCTGGCTTCTTACTCAGTTCACCTCCTGCTTAGTATGTGCATTCAGACAGGTGAGTAAAAATATTATGCTGAGTTATTTGTTGAAGCGGCCCTTTGAGATGATAACCACATATAGGATTGGATGGCTCAAATTTAATTTCCAGCAGGCATACATTATTATCAGGCAGGGTGGTTGAAATGGAGAATTCCAAAAGGCCAGAAGAGATAGACCCAATCCTAGGAGAATATTTAAAGACAGAATGGGAGGAGGAAACTTACCTGCCTTTCTCTACAGCACACAGCATAGTTTTCTAGATTAGGTAGATTAGGGGAAACACCTGAAAGGGTTTTAAGGAATCCAAACTTTATGTTATGGGGAAGCAGTAGGCAAGTGTTTATTCTGATCATATTTCTCCTAGGGCGATTATTTCCTCAAGGAGAACACCTTTTCAGATTTATTCCTGCCTGCTCTGTAGGAGGCAAGGTCACTAAACTTCAGATTTATTTAGTTTTACATTTTTAATTGCAAGTCTAGAATAAGGTAGTTTTTTTGTAAAATGACAGAATTATATGCAATTAAAGCAATATAGATATGTATATGCATTTTTCCATTTGGAACTTTAATTCAGTCATGTATTAGCTTCTCTTCAGTTGCAATGAATACAAGTGTATGAATTACAGAACTGCGTTAGTAGAGTTTTTCTTATGGCATTAACAAATATTCTGTGTCCATCAATCCTGGTCTTTTTATCTGTCTGGTCTCTTTTATGTTTGGATTAGGTCAGTTTTGATGCCAGAATCATGAGTTTAATTCTTATGTGGGTGAATTCACTTTGCTCTATCAGGTTTTGTAGTTTTCAGACTTTAAGAAGCAGAATAGATACATAAAATAGATAAAAATAGGATTCTGGCTGGAACAGGTGAGAGAAGCCCGAAGGCATTTCTTGAGAAATTTAAGACTCTCCAGAGCATACTCAGCTCTACTCTATTTAATCTGTCTGTGCCATCAGACATACCTGCAGATCTTTTTATAAACAGAGATTCATAAACCACAGGGATTCTAATTTCAAGAATCTAAGTTGCAATTTAGAAATATGTTTTTAAAAGTCCTCCTGATGATTCTTAGGCAGAACTGATTTAGGATCCACAGTTCACAGCTATAACTTGTACCAGCACCTTTGGCCATCCAGCCTGCAAATGTATGCCTTTTCTTTCATGGGGCTTGGGTGACAGTGCAGACAGATAAAAATACTAGGAAACAATGCAGTGATAGTAATCTGAAAGTACAAGTTGTTCATAACAGCATCCCAAATTCAGGAATCATAGCATTAAATAAGTATCTGTAACTCCTGCTGAAACCTGACTGGAATTTTAATGACATGTTTTGAAATTCTGCTTCTCTCTGTGACAAGATTATTTTTACCTAATTGTGGTAGTTTTTAACATCTTAATAGGTTACTTTATTATGTATTCTACTGAAAGAATAATATGTTAGTCAACCATGCGGCAACTATGTCTTCATTAACTAAAACGTTATAGCATGCTTTATTAATTTCAATTATTTGGAAGTGATACTCAATTTAGGAAGATTTCCAAGTAATGCTGATTTTTTTTCTCCTTCAGTTCATCTATATTTTACTTTAAAATTCTGACACTGTCTTGGTTCTTTTCTGTTACTTTAGGGGGCGTATGAACTGAAAACCTCTGTTTCTTTCTCTTTTTTCTTTTCCTTTATTTTTGTAGCTTGCTTGGTCCATGAACTCACTTCTTCATGGTTCTTCATATACATTGACGCACCTGTCTTCCGTTGAACTCCTTCAGTCATTGTAAAATTCTCTATGGAGGTAGGCTTTTAAAAAATATATATACGTGTATGTATATATGCACACACAAAAGACTAGAGAATCACATGTAGCTACATGTTTTTCCTCAGTGTATTGGACTGTCATAAAGGAGTATTAACTCAGGTCAGATTGATTGGTCAGAGAAAGGGCTATCATAAGTCTTTACAAAATAACTTCTTCATTTATTTGCCTGGAGTACAAGAGAAATGTTAATCTTTATAAAAATAAAGGATTTCTTCATGTGAAATTCTGCTGTTTTGGATTTTATATAGGGATTGAGGTCTCTGAAGACTGTTTTGAGGAGCGGAGGTAGCATATAAGGTACCTAAATCTCTCTAGCCTTGGTTTGTCTATAAAATGGTAATGATAATGCTTTCCTTTTGGGATTATTGTGAGAATGAAATACAGTAATGTATATAAAATGCCAAGGCTTTGGTCAGTACTGGCTTTTATTATGCGTTCTCACTGATGCAAAACCCTTAAAGATTGCAAGGTGTTGTACACACTACTCTCTCAGAAACAGTTGGCTTATTGTGATTCTTTGGGGAAACTTCTGTGCTTAGGGAATAAACCCATAGGTCCCCTCCTCTGATCTCCACATCACTATCAGCAGGAGGGAATTCACTGACCCTACCACCTTTGTACTTGCCCTCACTCTCTTGTCCATATACCCCCTCTTTGTCCAGTTGGAGTTTCATGGTACGTTATTACAAGCACTCCCTTGTTCCTCCCTTTTATCATCCTACTCCTGTGGCAAAATCCAACCATGGTTAAATGTGACTCTGCCTACTTCACGCATGCACCTGTGCAATTGAATGTTCCTGAAGAAAAACAACCTCACAGAGTGATATCACTATGATTCGGTATCTAGTGGACCTATGACACTATCACACAATCCTTATTAACTTCCTTAGTTCACTCACTTGCTTACTCTGCTATTAGGAGGTGATTTTTTCATATCTTCTCCTTTCTCTCAAACCTTCAACACATTCTCCTTGATTACATTCTTAGCTGATTCCTTCAATTTCTATTTCACTGAGAAAACAGAAGGAATCATAAATGAACATTATAAGCTCTTGCCACCACTTACACCTTCCCATTTTTCATTTGTGCCATATGCTCTGTTACTTTGGATGAACTCTTAGTGTTCTTATCTAAGGCCAGCTTTTCTACTTCTGCTGTGATCCCATTTGCTCTCACCTGCATCCCTCCAGCCACTCTCTCCCTTCTCCTTCTTTTTTATCATCTTTTTTCCTTTGTTTTCTTCCTATCCATTTACAAAGAATCTGTCATTTCTTCTGTTTTAAGAAGGACTCCACATTCCTTCAGTATGCTCCATGCCTTCATAGCAAAACTCCTTAGAAGACTTGTTTATGCCAGATACTGTTTCCCTTCCTCTCATTCTCTCTTTTTTTTTTCCCCCCTCTTACTCTCTTTTGAACCCACTCCAGTTAGGCTTTCCCCCATCATTCCATTGAAATTATTGTACCGGTGACTTACACTTAGTTGCTAAATCCAGCAGTCAGTCGTCAGTCTTCACCTTAGTTGACTGCTCAGCAGCGTTTCGTAGTTAGTTGTTCCTTCCTCTGTGTGACACTTATTTACATTCTTCTGGTTTCTGTCCTATTCCACTGAATACTCTTCTTTTTTTCTGCTGAATATTCTTCGTCTTTCCATCTTCTAAACACTGGAGTACCCCAGGACTATTCCTCTGATTTCTTTTATACTCACTAGGGCTCCTGGTGACCCTAAACTTTATGTCCTTAGCCTGGATCTCTTCCCCTGAATTTCAGTCTCATATCCAACTGCCTCCATGACATCCCCACTTGGATGCTGATATATCTATCTATCTATCTCAAATTAACCAAACTGTCCAATTTTGCACTTCCAGTCTATACCTTCCACTCTTTTCTCACCTAAGTAGATGGTAGTATCTTCCTTCTAGTTGCTTAGGCCAAAGATCTTGGAGTTACGGTGAACTCATTTTTTCCCCTCATACTCCAGATGCAAGCTCCAAATGTGAGGAAGTACCCGTTCTATAATTTTGAAGGTAAACGTTGACACAACATGTGAAGATCCTGATGAAAAGGTATAGAGGCTACCATTTGATTCAGCAGTTGTACTACCAGATCTAGATGTTACTACTAGGTATCTAAATGAGTTGAAAACTTACGTTGACACAAAAACCTGCACATGGATGTTTATACCTGCTCTATTCATAATTGCCAGAACTTAGAAGTAACCAAGTTGTCCTTTGGTAGGTGAATGGATAAATGGTGGTCCATCCAGACAATGAAATATTCAGCACTAAAAAGAAATGAGCTATCAAACAATGAGAAAACATGGAGGAACCTTAAATGTATATTACTAAGTGAAAGAATCCAATCTGAAAAGGCTACATCCTGTACAGTTCCAGCTATACAGCATTTCTGGGGCGTCTGGCTGGCTCTGTCAGTAGAGCATGCAACTCTTGATCTCAGGCTTGAGTTCAAGCCCCATGTTGGGTATGGAGTCTACTTTTAATTTTTTTAATATTTTATTTATTTATTTGTCACAGAGAGAGAGAGATGACATAAGCAGAGGGAGTGGTAGGCAGAGGGGAAGCAGGCTCCCCACTGAGCAAGGAGCCTGATGTGGGACTCAATCCCAGGACCCTGGGATCATGACCTGAGCCAAAGGCAGCTGCTTAACCAACTGAGCCACCCAGGCATCCCTGGAGCCTACTTTTTATTTTTTATTTATTTATTTATTTATTTTTATTTTTTAAAGATTTTATTTATTTTTTGACAGAGCGAGAGAGGGAACACAAGCAGGGGGAGTGGGAGAGGGAGAAGCAGGCTTCCCGCTGAGCAAGGAGCCTGATGTGGGGCTCGATCCAGGACCCTGGGATCATGACCTGAGCTGAAGGCAGATGCTTAACGACTGAGCCACCCAGGCACCCCTGGAGCCTACTTTTTAAAAAATGGTTGACTCTGTGACATTCTCGAAAAAGTAAAACTATGGAGACAGTGAAAAGACCAGTGGTTTCCAGGGGCTAGAGGGGAAGGAGAAATGAATAGGCAGAGCACAGAGGATGTTGGTGGCAGTTAAACTATTGTGTATGATACTTTACTAGTGGATACATGTCATTATTCATTTGTCAAAACCCATAGAATGTACAGCATCAAAAGTGAACTCTAAACTGTGGACTTTGGGTAATAATGTGTCAGTGTAGGTTCATCGACTGT